CAGTTCCAGAGACATTATTCACAGTTTGAAACTGCGCTTTAAAGATGCTGCTATTTATAAACGAGTCATTGCAACAGGAAAATGCGATAGTTTTGTGCCAAAAAAGGAGTTTGGTTTCCAGTCTCTTTGTTAAATTCATAATCATCACTGATGTTTGTGTAACGCTTATTTTAACTTTACTTTTAGCTGACATTTTCTCTTTTCTCTGATCTGTCATTTAGGTGGAAATTGTGTTCCCAATTTAAATCTATAGGCTAGAGATGTCCCTTTTGGTGGGAAGATGCTTTACTCAACCTGAGCAGATACAAACTAAGAATGAGTGGGGAGCGAAAAATAGCAGTAATGTGCCAATGTACGTAATTAGAAATGACTGAGCAGTTTTATATAGTTTTGACAGGAATGATTAACTTGATTATTTTCATACTCGATTCAGATTTTAGCCTCGCTTCTGATTATTGACGCTTACACAAACATTGGAAACCACATTTGAAAATGTTATCGTTGTATTGGGATCATTTAAGTTCAACATGAGCCTGATTTTAATTCCAGCCGACATTCATACAAACCCCCCGAACTGCATCAAAAAGCAATTAGCCAATGCAACCAACGTTGAAATATAGGCATGTTTCCTGAAAATGTGAACGTTAATAAACATATGATTTAGTCTGCGGTATAGCTTATATGTAAGGAGCTATTTTAAGGAAATGTTTCACTCGGTGAATATAATTAGACGTTACAGCTTGTTCACAGTGAAGCTGATTTCTTTCCTTCTTCTTCAAACTGTCTCCACACTGCAGATTCATCAGATTTTTACTTGCATTGGTTCAAATCTTATTTCTATGAATAAAGCTCAGTTTCTGCTGCTGTTAGGGAGATGGGAGGGAGACAAAGCAAGGCGGGATGGAGCAGTGGACAAACTACAACATCCAATTTTAGTTTGAACTTCTTTGCCGCAGAACTCAGGCGACATGAATTCACACATGATTATATCAAGTTATATACTCACCAAGCACTTTATTAGGAACAGCATACTAATACTGAAATACTTATGAAGTAATACTTACATGAAATACTTATTAAGGCACCGTGAAAACATCCACGCGGTTTAATTTTAAAGTTTCAAACCCACCAGTTTCTCTCAGGTAAAAACTCTTGATTTTTGTGTCGACACACCTGATTTGTTTTTGAAGTGATTCCGTTTCGATGCCGTCGTTAACTGGTCGGATTCCCTTTAGCCCTATTCCCTATTCCCTTTAAAACAAAGTTTTAGTTTCGCGGTTTCAAGAATGAAACTTTACTGAGAAACGGTCTGTAAAATCCTCTACAGCACCGTCGGTAGGTCTCTTACCTGTCACTCGATCTGCTTGAAAGACGTTCAGGAGTTTCACATGTTCCCTCAGCGCCAAAAGGACAAGAATACAGGGCCCAGAAAATCATTAGATATTTATCTCCCTCTCACCAAACGAGTGTGTTTTTTTTCCTCTGAAACCTCTCCACACTTGACACCAGGAGAGTAGAGAAATCTAAGTTTAAAATCCACATCCTGTGTGAAACACACTTCGACTGCCACTGGCTCAATAATCTGTTGAGATTTCAACACTTGGAAGATTGAAGGCAATGCTTTTTTTTTTTTTTTTTTTCTCAGCCCAGAGAACTTGAACGAGGGAAGCAGCAAGTTTATTACCAAGGACAATAGACGGCGGATAGCTTCCTTCAAAGGGCCTGGGAAAACAGGCAGACTGAAGCTCCTCAGTTTGGCTCCTGACACTCTAAACATGAAGGACGAAGAGAGGAGCAGTAAATGGCACCAAAACTCAACACTAAAACTTCTTGTAGTTTTCTGATTGTTGCAGTCTGTCCATACTTCTGGAGCATGTAGTCTGTACGTAGCAAAACTGTAAGCCTGGATGCCACAAATATAAACTTCAGCATTTTAATCTTTTTTTTTTTTTTTTCAAATGAGAAAATGTTTCTTCTTTAGAGAAAATGTGACGCTCTTCAGTCACTAACAACACCGCGTTTTGAGGAGAAATGATCGTTTAGCAAAACAGATGAAAATGACCTGCAGTGTAATTTACCAGACATATTCTATCAGTAAGTTTACGATGAAACGATTGTGTTTATTTCCCATTTTCAGTTCGCATTCATTTGTTTGTCACAAATTTTTTGATGTAATTTAAAAAAAAAAAAGAAATAGAGAAATGTTTTAAATTTCATTCATAGCCTAATGCTCCCTGTGTTTTATAGGAGGCGGCTACACGCGATTTAGACGTGTTTTTATATATTTTATAGTTGTGCCTGAATATTAAATTCATCATTCAAACTTTTGAGTATAACCTAGAGATGTTTTTAGGAAAAAAAACCCTTTCTAAATAAAGCGGATCCAAATGATCAAAAAGCTCTTTTAAAAAGAGTTTAATTAGTTTTCACGCTGCAGAAAGTGTAGGCCTGGTTAGTTGTGTAATATCTTTGTTTTTATTTCTTATATTTATACAACATTTAATTCGTGACCCGTTCCAGTAAAATATTCTAGATTTTAAACACCGAGGCTATTTATTTTCTACATTTTCTAAATTTGAAATGTTCTGTTTTTTCATCTTTAAAATAACTGTCGCTTTTTTCCAGCTGTCTCGTGTTTCTTTCTTTCATTCAAACGTAGTGATTTGCAACAAAAGCGTGGTTCTGTAATTTTTGTACTTGTCTTGTCCTTGAATGCAGATGTTATGATAGGTCACAACAGAGCCTTCATTATCACGTGGGCCGTCATTCATTCAAATTCTTTTGAATGAATAAATAAATCAATTTATTTGTTTAATTATTTATGTGTATGCAGAAACAGTCTTCATGCTCGAGTGGTAGTGAAACTGCTGATGATGTTTCATTGCAGAGTTAAGATACTGACTAACAATGAGAAGAGTAGGGACAGCATGGCAGCAGGGGACCGTGTATGAACTTGTACTGCCACCTATTGGCTGAGAGCCGCAACAGCTCACATGATTGCTTAATACAGTGATATTTGAGAGTCTTGTCTGGTTTAAACCCTTAACCTGTCTAATCTAAATCTCAGTGTGGTCTTTTTTTATGTGAAGGGTCCTCGGACTTTCTTTCTCGTCATAAAGCAACAAAAAATAATCCTGTGTTTGAACCTGGATAAAGTGGAGTCATAAGGAATCCCATTTATGAAAATCCTGTGTTGGTTATACAGAATTATCTTTAATGTCTGTGAGGAGTTACAGTAACGAGAGGAGTCAAAACTAAATACACAATGTCCCCACTATATGCTGGAGAGTCAACTAAAAACACAACTGCTCCAAGTCTTCAATGTCAGTGTATTTTATTTTTGAACTCCCCACCCTCCCCCAACACACACACACACACACACACACTCACTCACTCACTCACAATCCTGTGTGTGAGAAATTTCAGGGGGACAGTGTGCAGAAAAAAAATCCCTCCATTGATAATACGAAAATAGTCCATTACACACCTAACAACAATCAAATTTGATTTGAGCAGATTACCAGAATATTTTAGGAATATGAGGCTCTCATGATTGATTATAAAACACGCAGTTAAACACTTTACCAGATATACATTGTTAAATCCCCACAGGAGGAGTGTATTTATTTAAGAAAGTACTGGATGTACACGACAGTGTTGGAAAAATGGACTTGGATTAGTAGTTTCAATATTTATCCAATGAATTTGACTGTGAAGGAGTGTAAACATTTAGCAGGGGGAGATTTCCTTCTTCTAGTTACGGTTCATTTTAATTTTAAAGTGCAAATATTTGACTGGAGATTCACTGTAGCGCTGCCACGCAGAGGATTTTCCTTTTCTTCACTCCGGAAAATAGCAATTCTTTTTTTATATTGACAATTTCAACGTAAACTGCACCAGGAGGTTAAATTTCTATCAGATATGACTTTAATATGAGAAAATGTGTGCAGAAGCTTGCAGGCTTCTATTGAACTTAAAAAAAAAATACTTGAAAAATGATTCAGTAGTTGTGAGGAGCGACTTATGGTGGATTCATTCACACTGGGCGAGATTGTTTCCTTAAAGGTCGATGTGCATTTTCGAAATGCGGATGTATTTCATTCTATGTTTCTCATATGTTGTCGTCAGTCCATCGCCTGTAGGCGACGGCGAATATAGGCCATATTGTTTACAGGAGAGGCAGCTCAAGAAAAGCACCACCTTCAGGGCCACAGTGTACTGTAACTAATATAATAGCCTGAAGCAAAATACAGTGGACCTACCATGAATGTTATCTGTGTGAAGCTGATAATGTTAGATTGTTGAGATTGCGTGTGGGAAAAGGGGATTTCTGCTCGCCATGAACGTCTCCATATCCATCTGCCTGTCTGTCTATCTAATAATCTATCATGTAATGTCATTGTACAGTAGTTTGTAGCATAGGACATGTTGTTTTTAAGGAATTTTATTGTGCTTTGATGGGCTGACTTTCTGTCACTGCAAGAAATCAATTTGAACCCAAATTATTCTATAATGGGTATAAGTGTGCACTGGGAGCAGCCTCTCCCATGAAGCCTATACGCAGTGCCTCGGGTCTCCCGTGGTGCATTTAAGGCCCTGTATTTACCCTTGTACTATAAACTATATGGGTGAGTCTACAGAGTCACATTGTCATTCTTCAGGTCACAACACCAAAATAAAACCCGTGCTCGTGCTTTCAAGTAAGAGCTGACACTGAGATGGATATGAGCCAAATATTCTTCAGATACCTCTGACATTTTTTTCCCTGTATAAATATAGAAGACTACACGCATCTTTGGAATTTAATTTCATCCTCCACCCACCTAATACCAAAATATTTCCTCATGGAGTATATTGCTTTGCAGTATTGAGAGCAAGGGTGGGGCGGAACAACATATTTTGCATATCACGTGACGCCGTATTAACAAATCAACAATTACCTACCCTTTATTCTTCAGGAGTTGCTAAAAGGCTTGCAAGACACGTTTGAGGGAAGCTCCATGGAAATGTGTGAGCGGAATCCGTTAAATCCCGGCTACGTTGGTTCTCTGCTGAATTTTGCTCCACCTGAGTCGCTGTATTTCTCCAACTTGCGGGGTAATGGAGCCCACATACCCGGGCTGCATCAGATCCCTTACAACAGGAGAGAGGTGTGCACGCTCCCGTGGACTTCCTCAAGTTCGTGCACGTCCAGACCAGCAGCACCACCACCACAGAGCCGCGCCTTTGGCGGCTACTGTCCGCCGTTTCTGTCCAATAACTCGGTGTCTGTGAACACCAACTCCTCCGGCGGCCACGTCAAGGCGCATTTGGAGGAGTCGGCTCGATGCTTTCAGGACGCAGACCACAAGACAGAGGAGTCTGGCAGACAAGATGAGGCTTACGCCGGGGAGCATGGGGCAGTCAGTGACCGCGGCTACTCGGACCTTCACAGCCGGTCTCACGGTCCTGGAGCCCAGTTGAACGCGGATTCTGCAGGTCCGCTGAACGTGACCGGCACCAAACAGGAACAGAACTGCTTTCAGCCACCATCCAGTAACACATGCTCCAGGACGACTTTTGCTGAAGGTTAAGTAGCCTATAGAATTATTTTGTTGTTTCAACTATTTCTACACTTAATAATTATGTAGCCTAATTATAAAAAGAAAACACCTTGATACCACATGACTTGATCTGTGCTTCCTCGTACTTACTTACTTCGTTTCATTTTGTTGCAGTAACTGTTTATCTCCTATTACATCATCATGATGGACTAACCAATCTACATTGGCGCATAATGTTAAATAGGAGTTATAGTGAGACTTTATAGTTTGTGTGTGATAATCATAAGTTCACTGACTGTTATAGCCAGTTTACATCTCCTTTGATATTCAGTTCATTTTAATATTCCTATTATGTCCTGACAGAAGCTACTGTTAGTGCCTAGTACTATTAGCCCTCTGCTCCCATAGTATAGTGTGTGTCTGTGTGTGTGTGTCTGTGTGTGTGTATATATATATAGCCTGTACTATAGGCGTGCCTTCTTATATTTACTATAATATTAAACCCTTTTTTGCAAGATATTTACTCATCTAATATGAACACCACTATAAGCAGCAGGATCAGTTATTTCCCTTCAGACAATATTACTGTTGCTGTATAAAAACCTGTTTTCACCTCTGCTCCCTCCAGGTGCCCCATGGTGCTCGTCACAAGTGAGAACCCGAAAGAAGAGAAAGCCTTACACGAAGCCACAGCTGGCTGAACTTGAGAATGAATTCATGATGAACGAATTCATCAACAGACAGAAACGAAAAGAGCTGTCAGACAGACTGGACCTGAGCGACCAACAAGTGAAAATCTGGTTTCAGAACCGGAGGATGAAGAAGAAGCGGCTCATGATGCGCGAGCAGGCTTTCTCCGCGTACTGATGACCTTTGGACTTGATCATGACCAGCAGCGCACAGAACATGTTGTGTTGTAGCCTTGTATGAATGTTGCAGCACATCACAAGCCCTCTCGGTTTGTGGCACTGACTTGTATTTATAGCCCAAATCAGTGTAAAATGTTTGTATTCCAGTCACACAGTAGGCTCGGGGTTTAATCAAGTCACAGCCAGTCAGTGATATTAACAGCAGGCTGATAAAGAATACATAGCAGTTTAAGATACAACAGATTTTTATCCAGCTGGTCATCTCTGACCGAGGCTCTCCAAATGCGCAGTAGGCCCTGACTCCTGCTGGGCCTTGCCGCGGTTAAAAAATAAAACAGTGAACCTGATTCTTTCTCATCCAACACAAATGTCAGGCCTGTTGAAGCAGCATTATGGCTCTGTATGTTTTTGTGTATTTTGTAATATGGCCTGCGCATGTAGTGCAGGGCCTAATGTGGAAGCAAACAGTCAAGTTCATGTTTACGGGGGTTTACTAAAGTCAGTATTTCAAAGTATATTATAACTGCATGTCTATTTCCTAATTGCTGTTATTTAGTTAAATGCCGGATTCCCCCCTAAAGTTATTGTAAGTCTGTTAAAATGAGCAACGTCACATTTTTCTTGTGTGTGGCCGCGGCCACATTCAAGTTCGGTCTGTGGAGCAGAAGATTTGCGGCGGCATTTAGTGGTAAAAGGTATTTACTTCAAATGTGTGTGAAACAAAGTGGGTTGTGGATGAGAAACGTCCTGGTTGTGTCAGTTAAAGCCACATTATAACTGTGCTGAATGAAGCTCCGGTTGTCAGTGTCAGACCTGGTTTTATGTTGTTACACACATGAGACGGTTGCATTGGAACCACTCTTGCTTTGAAAATCTATCCTTTATAAGTAAATACATACTTGATTTAATGTATATTTAACCTCGGATTGGACTTGTTAAAAAAAACAACAAAAAAACAAAAAGCATTCCGGAAGAGCATGTTGTTGGTAAACATAAAAATGTGGATGAGACTTTTTACGCACGGACCAGAGGTCTTGTAAAGTTGACGCAACCTGAGGATGAACACATTTGTAAATAAAGCACATTTTAAATGACCTGTAGCCACATTATTGTGCATCATGTGAGTGGTTTTATATTTTCAGGCAGGGTACTGAATAGCGAGTTTTGGATTCTCGATCATCAGTCAGTCGCTCACTAGCTGATAATAGACATTATATCTTTTGATATATATAAAAACTCACAGCCTCCTGCAGCTCAGCCCACCAATTTTTTAGTTATTATTATTATTATTATTATTATTATTATTATTATTATTATTGTTATTATTATTTTAGATAGGGGTCAAAAGGATTGATTTAAGAAACCTCGGTGGTTATGTTTGCGGCGGCGGAAGGACCAGCGCCTGTGTCCTTACCTGTCCCTCACTTTCTAAATGAATTCATTAATATGCATGAGAGGAAAGTATTTGTTGCCCAGACACTTTAATGACTTCCTGCTACTAATTTTTTAAAATGAAACACCCTGGTCTGCATTCAGATTTCCCTTTGGCAAATATCTATCCTCATATTCATCATGCACGTTCAAAAACAAAAGAATCAACATTTCCATAACAAAAGTGACTGCTTTAGCATTATCAGCTATGTCATAATCACCCACTGCAACTTTTACTTCGAAATTCACCAGCAAATACTTCAAAATAGCACTTTGACTGGATTTTTTTTTAAAGTAAGCAATATTTTACTTGTATATGTATATGCGGTTAAATTTAGGTCACATGTGCCTTTCTAATATTTAGCTTCCCTCCTCTGCGCAGATTCCTCCTCCCAGTTAAAGCATAACGCAGCAGCAGCTCGCTCCCTCTGCCAAGACCTCCACATGCCAGCTGGAGGTTACTGTGGCTGTGTGACCAAATGGATCTGGTGTGACTCAGAAATCATACCTGCGACTTTTAATTTCACTGTATGTGTGTGTAGCTACACATCACATCAATTTTGAATGCGATTTATTTGCCAATTTAGGTTCCTCTGCGCGCGTTAGAGATCATTTAGATAACGCATGTGGTATGATCACATATAAGTTTGTATTTACAAAAGCACTTCACTGTTTTGTTAAGTGGTTGCAAAAACACTAGTTTCCACATTGTGGTCGAGAATAGGCAAAGTTTAAGGCTGCAAGGCACAAGTGGTCAGAGAGTGAAGCTGCAGCTATTAAAGAAAACCAACCACCAACAGACTAATACGCAGGACACTAGATCTATTAATGGTGCCTCCCATTGCATCATCATCACGTCATCATCACCTCATTACTGTGGCTATTATGTTTCTGTAATACTGCAGTCGTATTAAAGGTTCATGAAAGTCAGTAACATTTTGAACCTATAATTTGTAATGAAACGTGAAGAGATGGTTCTCCCATTAGTGACTGTCACAGATCTCAGTTCTCTCAAATTTTGGGGCTTTTATTTTGTAGAACTATTGGGGCTAAATTTTTCTTTTTTTTAATTATTGTGAAAGCCTTGTTATTTATTTATTTATTTTTTAATCTTCAATTTCTGACATAATCGACGCTCGTGCGCTGCAGGCCGCTTGTTTTCCAGCTATGTGTTTGTCTGCTTTTTCTCATCTTAAAATCCCCACCACACGCCATCTTTCACCTACTATTAGTTTTTATTGCTCAGACTGTTGTTGAGCAGCTACACCGAGTTTTCTCCGTGTGCAATACTGCAACGTTTCCCCTCAGTATTTGTTGCTTTATTGCTTTACTGCCAAACACAGCCAGACAGCGCCATGTAACTCAGGCTCCTCGAGATAGTGGGGGCGCCAAAACAAAGTTAAGGTCAAGTTAGTATAGGCTTTGCACTGCTACTTCCAACAATATTACTACCACAAAGTTACTTCTTTGTGAGGATATATATATCTCACCAACGCGAACAAGCTTGAAGTGGCTTCTTATATCGATTTGGTTAAAATTATAGTATTAAACTTAATATGACGCACATAAAACTGGCTCAGCAGCACGAGATTTTAAGCTGAGCAGCACCCGCCTGCAGTGTCATTTAAAATGTGTAATGTTAAAGTGAATCAACCGATGCTCCTTATTTGTTGCATGCATCTACAATAATGATAATAATAAAAATAGCTTAATAATAATATTTTATTTGTTTTAAAATAAATAAAATCTATACGCTTTACAACAAACAAATTAGGGCAATAAAAACCGCAACGTAAAGGAGTCAGATAAGTGACAAGCAACAGGTCGCAGACTTTGTCTGAGGTAAATAAACTAATTCAGTCCTAAAATTAACATTTAACATTTCACTGCAATGCAAGAGGTAAAGATATTTTTTGTAGTTTTTGGATGAATTTGTTTAGAAATTTCCAGTTTTCACCTTTTATGTCTGGTGAAAATACGAAATTTGTGTTGCATGTATCTTTGTGAACTGCCTGTGGGCTTTCAACGTGAAAGTGTGGTGAAGGGCTGAAGACAGAGAAAGAGCTGATTTTACCCCCAATAACAATAAACCCCCAGTTCGTCTTTAAGCTTCTTCCACATTGTTGTGTGACCTTCAAGCTTAAAGCAGAGAAGAATCCACTGGTTCTTTCACCACATTCTACTGAGCTACACACGCGAGAGCTGCGTTTCTACTGGAGGATCATTTTGTGGTCACTGACCAGTATCAGGCCACAACTATGTTTTCTTTCAATATCGTCCTTCCCTTTTCCATTTAGTTTAAGAATAAACATAAAAAAAAAATAATACTCACGTCGACAAAAAAAAAAAATATATTGGTGGAGGCTTGGAGATGTGAGGTTATCCGTTCACCAGAGTTTTAACTCCGTTGAGCCCACAGAGAGGGGAGGCCTGGACACTGCAGGCATGGCTGCTTTCGCGCAATAAAATGATTTGGGTGCAGAGGCTTGTTGGTGAATGCTTGGTGGACATCACCTAGACCACAGACGGGTCAAAGCTGGTTGTTTTGGACTTGGCAATGCTCTACTCGGTGATTCATGCTTGCAATTGACTTAGCTTATGTTTTTTGTTTTTTTTGTGTCAGATCCAAATCCATCAGCGTCTTCTGCAGTCGCAACAGCATACCGTGGGCTGTTTTATTTGGCTGTTTTCAAACGCGTTCATCTGCGTTGAATATTAGAGTCTAACAAATGAAAAACAAAGCAACAGTTAATGTTTTAACATTCTCATGCAGGCCGCTTTTAAAGCTGAGGCACACATGGGCTAGTTCGCGTGCTTTGCAATAGAATTTATATTTGAATTTATTGTAGTGCAGCAATTTTGTAGTCTTTTATTTCTTTTGTGGTGCCTGGACTTTATTTTGCCTCGTGCTGCAGGCCAGGCGGTTTGTAATTGACAATGAATCCAAATACTTTCCTGCGAACGTTTGTTTGTGTGTATTTAACTGTCCTCCAACCATCATGGCGCTCGGTGATTATATGCAATGAACCCTAAAATGTATTTGCATAAAACACCCGACTTAATGAGTCGCTTGTGAATCACATACTGTTCTGCCGTCTTCATGGTTTAACCGTGCAGCAAGGCACATGCACCACCGGTGGCCTTGGTGCCATTCTCCTCAGGCTTTGCATGAAGTGCGGAGGTCAACTTCAATGTTTTCCAGCCTAACTGTTGCTACAGACAAACATGCTTCCTCCAAAGTGGGCAAATTAATTGAGGAACGAGCGTGTGCGGGTGTCATTACATGTCATTACACGATGGAGATGGTGCTACTGCAAAGCTTTAAATCAAATATTCCAGCTGTGGTTCACAAATTTCTTTTCTTTTTTTCCTGAGCTATAGGGCAAGAAGGCTGGAGAGGAGTTTCCTCTGCAGCCAGGGAGCCAATGAAGTCTCTTGCATGCGCTCACATGAGTTTCTCCGGACAGTTTTTAATGACTGATATTGATGTATGGTAATTTCTTAGCTGGATCACATGACACAATTACCTCAAGAATCGATCAAGATGTATTGCAGGTCTGCCTACGTTTCCGATTTTTTCTCCCTGGTGGGGTCTTTCCACACGCCTGTGGTGCTATAGATGGACAAAGTTTAACACAGTCAAGCTGCCAATTCCTTTCCTCTCTTGCAAAGAGGGAAAGGGAAGAAGAGATATGACGGAATACGATGATCGCAGCTGTGCGTCAAATATGTATTTACCGAGCTGCACTTATTACGTTTCGACGCCCGATTTTACATCAGTCTCCTCCTTTTTACCGCAGACTACTTCGTGTCAGATTAATTTCCCCTATTCTCCCAACATAGCCCAGGTCCAACCTGTTCGAGAAGTCGCTTTCAGGGATTATGGACTGGACCATCCCAGCAAATGGCACTACAGGGGCAATTACGCGTCTTACTACTCAACGGACGAGATAATGCATCGGGACTTAATCCAGTCCTCAAGCAGCAGGGCGGATGTGATATTCAAAAACGAGTCCTTGTACGGCCACCACGCAGGGACGAGCTCGCCGTGCAATTTCTTCGCCGGTGTCGGCCGGAACGGGGTTCTTCCCCAGGGCTTCGACCAGTTTTTTGACACTCCCAACTCGGAGAAGCCCTGCGCGGAGCTCCCCAACAAACAAAAGACAGACTCTGCTGTTCCCGGAGATGCTGCTGAAAACACCAATCAGGCTTTCACCAAACTAGAGGAGCACAAAGCTGACCCGACCGGGAGCGTGGACGAGGACTCATCCTCCAACTGCGGCGACAAGAACAACCAACAGAGTAAGTATTTCCCTCTATGTCCTGGGTATAAGGTGCTCACTGTAGACAAAAGAGTCTCTAGGCTGCACTGTGTCCAGCACCAGTGGCCGTCCTGGGTTATGTGCCGCTTTATAAGCATGCAAAAGCTTTTATATCCCTATAAGATTTACTTTACGGTTGTAAAGGTATTTACAATGGGAAACAGTCAAGTAACCATAGTTTAAAAGGTTGCCTGGTGTCTAGAAACAATATGTAGGTGCTGAAATTGATTTGTGTTGATGGGGAATTGGAGAAAATTAGAAATCGTTTTTATTAAAGTTTATTTTATCATCTTATAGGCAATGTTGTGCAGATATAACGACACCTTTTTATAGGGAACAGAAGCTGTAACGCGGCAGTCTGTCTCCAAACAGCAACATATGTCTAAAATTCAGTGCAGTGAGTTCATTTTAATGCTAATACTTCTGTTGTTGTCAGTCTCACTGTGTGTTTGTGTCTCTCTCTCTCTCTCTCTCTCTCTCTCTCTCTGTGTGTGTGTGTGTGTGTGTGTGTGTGTGTGGGCCTTTGTGCACAAATTAATAAATAAATAAATGTATGTGTCAACTATGTTAACTGCACTTGAGTCAGAATTTTATGACCAGATCTTCATTTTTTTTCACGCTTTTTTTTAAAATTTATTTTGTTTGTTTGTTTGTCTTGTGCAGGTTCATCAACCAAGTCCAGGAAGAAGAGGTGCCCTTACTCCAAATACCAGATCCGAGAACTTGAACGAGAGTTTTTCTTCAACGTGTACATTAACAAAGAGAAGCGGCTGCAACTGTCCAGGATGTTAAACCTGTCAGATCGGCAGGTGAAGATTTGGTTTCAAAATAGAAGAATGAAAGAGAAAAAGCTGAACCGCGACCGCCTACAGTATTTCACTGGGAACCCTTTATTCTGATACCTGACATAGTAGCACACACACACACACACACACACACACACACACGCGGGGGTAAAATAGGTGGTATACACTATCATATGTTTGAAAGACTGGCCCCTCTCTGCATATTTGAACCCTGGTCGTTTTTATTGATGATCAGCTTATTTTACAAAAATCTGGCATTTAAAAAAAAAAAAAAAAAAAAAAAGGAAAAAAAAAAGGAAAAAAGTGCCATATTTTTGCAAACAATTCTTGCATTTATTTATTTGTGTTCATATATTTTCGCGTTATTGGCAGCCCGATCTTTCAGCAAAGTACGAGCTGTGCTTTGACATGATTTCTATAAACTCTATAGGCTTTCTTCTTCCTTGTGTATGTGCATTTATTCAGACGCATGTAATGTTCGTTGTGGTGTGAAATAAAGTAGACACGACAAATGTTGTATCATAGTCACGAAACCTGTCACATGGTCTCAACCAAGTCCTGTAAAAAAAAAAAGAAAAAAAAGAAAAGAAAAATACATATGACGACGCTTCAATGGCGAAGTTTGGCGCTTGCAGGCCTGTATGGTCCCGTTATTTCCTCTGCTTTCAAACACTGAATTGTTTACTAAACCTTGAACCGTCTAGACAGTATAATAAAACTAGCTGTAAATGTCTAAATAGGGGGCTATTGGATTTTTGGTGTCCCAACCCCCAGACCACAAGAGGCCAGATTCTCCCTCCTGCCTCACAGTAGTTTCACTTCAGGCTACAAATGTTTAGAGAATGCAAAGAGATTTCTGCGCATCCCGTCCATATTTAGCTCCTTCTCACATCTCGTGGGCACTTGAGATGTTTACCAGTGTTTAACATTAGGGAATAATGGAAGATATTCTAACAAGGAGCCGCCATCTGAAAGGATAAGTAATCTTTTCAAGTTTATCCGCTTGTGTCGCTTTTGAATCGCAAAGGAGAGAGATTTCTAGATGGAGCCGGAAAGAAAAGCGCATTTCTTTTTCACCCCTTCTTGAACGAATGCAGGTGAAACGTTTCTTTCTTTGTGCAGCTCCACTTTAAGCTGCTTCCACACGAAGGGGAATCATCTGAATGCCATACTTTACCTCAGCAGTGTTTATCATTCTTATTTTTGTAATCAACAGAGAGACAGATTAAATAAATGCATCCAATCCACACAAACACTCTTTATTGATAATTCATGTGATGCGGGTGGATTATTTTCACTTTAGGTCTTTGCACCAACAATCCCACCCCCCTCTCATGTCTCAGCGACCTTTATGAAAACAACGCAGTGGGATTAATGCTCATTTCACGTGTGATGTAGGCCTATCACGTCTGCAGTAATTTCCCAAAAAGGCTGTAAGAAAACTGAGGTTTCATTAAGCGTTTAATTGGGTTGTCATCATGTCCTACAGTGAAATTACATTACCAACTGTGTGGGGTAATTCACTTTGATTCTCGGTGTATCCACATGAGGGCAGACTTGCTGCTCTGGCTTCACGTGGAAATGCAGAGTTCAGCCAAATTGAACATGGACCCTGCATGAGAATCAGTCAGTGGAGGAATAATCCGCACAGCACAGGTTTTATTTAGACTTTCATTTCAATTCCAGCTGCACCAATTAGCTTTAATTATATTGTGTTTTCATCAGAAGAATTTCTTCTTCTTTTTTTTTACATTTTAATTTTCCTTTTTAAAAAAAAAAAAAAAAAAAAAAACGCCCCAAAGCACCTGGTTTTATATCAAATTCTTCAAAAGTCTGTTTTTTCTCTGGAGATCTCAGAACATAAACAGATTATTGTAGCACACGCTGTTGTTTCCACTCGGTGCCAAGTTGAATCGATGCAAGTCCTGTGTGGCATCTTCCACGCCGTAATTACATTTGCGAGTCATGTTCAAGTCTTTGGAAAAGGACAAGGCGAACAAAAGAAATATAATTCTCCTCCGTGTCTCTGTCACCTGAACCCCACAGGCTTCAGTCTCCACCTGAAGGCCGCAGAATCCTGCAGGCCACAGAAATCTGCCTCTATAAACTCCAGATATTGTGGCATTGAGAGGGTGGGGGGGGGTGGGGGTGGATTATTGACATAAATACACTTTGCGTTTCTTTGAATTTAATTTCATGTTGCAGCTTTATAAATGTTATTCAGTTGTCGTTTATCTGTGTCTGTAATATCTGTTGACTATTTGCTTACACAAGAGCAGAAAGTTTCTCCACTAAACGAGTGAGACATTGTTGCACTTTCAAGCTTTCACTTTTGCCTGAAACTACAATAATGGCAGTGTCTTTTTTTCCTCAGTCTCTCTACCCTCGTATGTTATATTTTTATATGCTCTGTCTTTATGTTTTAAACAATATATCTCCTGGCATTTTATTATTATTGCTATTCTTATTATTATCATTATTAATATTATTATTATTGCCTAACACGCGGACCAATTTGTTTTCCACTTCGAAATATCAGCAGTACTTGTGTATATTTTGAGCATGTATGGATAGTTGTTTATACATGAAGAATAAATTCCCCTATTAAAGATGTTTTTTTTTTAGTGCGTCACATGATGTGAGAAACAGCCCAGTGTTATATCTCTGAGCAATTTCCATGATTAGAAACATGATTCTTAAAACAAAAATGATGTCCGTGTTCTCAGATGTCTCAGTTAAATGTTATTTTTTTCTTTATTTAAAATAACCGAATATGGTACAACGATGGATGTATTTTCTAAAGTTATTCCATGATTAAAAAGAGGAGAATAAACAGGCCTGTATTGTGTTGTCAGTGAGTCCTGTGATGTTGAGATCATTTGCATATCGCACATGTTTATTTAAAACCATCTCTTAACATCTAACAGTCTTGAAAACAACCAGGACGGGTGTGTGCAAGTCCTCTCACACACGTGTGGCATTAATACTGAAGATACAATTATTTCAAGCTGCAGTCACTGTGTTTAGTTTTATTTATAAATAGAACCATTGGGAATACTTATGTCATTTTCTGCTCGGTGGATATTTTCAGGCAGAAGTTGTTTTTTTTTTTTATTCTGTTCCCCCTCAGTTTAACACTCTCTCACACATTTGCCTTCCTTGCAGACAAAAACAATGGAACTCCGAGCAAAAATAGTCCCCCAGACTGTGTAACTGCGCCGACTCCTCCAGCACACTCTTATTTTCAACTTTGCATTTGAACGTCGAAAATGCAAACGGCGGTGTTGCTCTTCGTGGTGTGTGCAAATAATAAAATACACTTTCCTATATGGGTTTTTAAAAAAAAGTACTTAATTTCCAAAATGCAAAGCTTTGCACAACTATAATGTTGACCTTCATGCATCCAAACCTCCGAGTAGCTGATTCGTTCACGTTTGTGAATGGTGCACTCACATTTTTTACAGTCCAGGTTCCTTATTTTCAATGTTGACATCATGCAGGAAATGTAAAAGGCCGTTGTCCTTATTTCGAATGAACTCGACAAAAAAAACAAAACAAAAAAAAAGTGAAAATGAGCAAAACTAATAAAACAAACTTCAAACCGCGACTTAATGAAACAAAGAGGAAGCAGCATATCTACACCATGTCATATTTATCCTTTTGTTTCCACTTTGAAGTCAAAAATACTGGAGACAGTAAAAACATATGCAAATACAGTTAATGTGTGCTCTGTCGTTGGTGGGCTTGGAGTCATGTGAATGGTTAATATGAATGGAAAAGAAATAGATTCAGTAGAGCTGGTTACATTCTGTGAAATAGTCTGCAGTTGTCGCCTATGCGCCATGTAGGCAGCATTTTACGCACACACACACACACACACACACTCACACACACACACACACACACACACTTCCAGTCTCTCACACAAAGAGACAAATATCCTTTGGGCATTTTACACATGAAATAAAAAACACTTCACAGAATCTCAGTTGTTAGCACATGAGATCCAAATCAATGCGCAATGTCTTAGTTTATTCAAACGCTTCAGTTTTAGTGAACAGTAAAGTCCCGCGATGCCCCTGTTGTCTTCAGCGTCTGTAAACCAATTTCAAGTCCGTGTTGTAGGTGTCGCTGTTGACCACGTCTGCATCCGCAGTGCGAGCGCGTGCAGGGAGAGGAGGCTGCGTCTCAAGGCCATTTTCAAATCTCATTGGTGGGCTTGTCATGTGGTCGGGAGGCATCCTGACTTACACGGAGATTGTTTTTCCTAGATATGTCAGCTTACAAAGGACATCTCTCTTCTCTAAAGAACTTAACCCCCAAAAATGTCCTTCCCCAGTAGCTCTCCTGCGGCAAACACATTTCTAGTGGACTCTTTAATAGGTGCCTGCAGGACGGACAGCTTTTACTCCAACAGCAACATGTACGTGCCGTCCGCCTCAGAAATGGGAACTTACGGAATGCAAACCTGTGGACTCTTGCCGTCTTTCGGCAAAAGAGGGGAGGTCAACCACCAAAATATGGGCATGAATGTCCACTCGTACATACCTCAAATAGATAACTGGACTGATCCGAACAGACCCTGCAGAATAGAGCCGTCCAGTCAGATGACAAACTGTTCATTTTCACAGAGCATAAAGGAAGAGAGTAACTGCTGCATGTACTCCGATAAGAGAGTGCAGAAAGTCAGCCTGACAGAAGTCCCCGCATATTCTGTTATTCCCGAGTCCTGTCCCGTCGATGGTCCCGAGATCCCGGTCCCGGGCTATTTCAGACTGAGCCAAACTTATGCGAATGGGAAGCATCAGGAAAACTACTGCCATGAGCCGCCGAGTCCAAACCCAACACTGATGCAGCTGAGCCGGCTCACCCCGAAACCGCAGTCCTCCTCCTCGTCCTCTTCTAATTTTGCAGAGGTGGAAAAGAAACGCGAGGACGTCCAACAAGACCCCGAGACCTCAAGGACTCCGGTCCCCCCAGCAGAAAGCCCGGAACCTCCCAAGTCCAGCTCTGAGGAGAAGAACTGCTCCATGGAAGCCTCTGTGTCCAGTCCTGAGCTGCAACAGAAAGAAGGCAAAGGTGGGTTGGCTACAATGAAAAGCTTTTATCTTGTGGCGCTGTGCTGAGAAGGCTCCAGCATCATAAAACCAAGTATAAAACACAAACAACCCTAAAGTCGTAATGTTTAATGAGAGTCTTTCTCAGGTTGCAGTGATAGGCAGCAGAGAATGGTTTTACCATGCAGCATGCAGACTGTGTGTCCCCTGCTCCTGATATTTAAATCCAAATAATGCATTTTATATATAATATAAATTATATATAGCCTATATATTTCAGTCTGTCGCTTTATATTTAGACATATTACACAATATTCAGAAACAAAAAAAAAATCAACCTAAGCTGCACTGATAAGTCCACCTCATATTTGTGGTACAAATTCAAAATTCAGTGACTCAAGGATCTTCAGAAATTGGTGCATTTGCAGCTACAGCTGAATTCTATCAGTCTGTGTCTTTGAAGGAGCCTTGATAACAAAAACCACTGCTTGAAATTCATCATTTTAGCAATTTAAGTTAATCAAAGATTACATTGATGACAGGCTAATACATTTAATATTTAATGAAATGAATGGATTTTTTTTATCACGTTTGAAGCTGTACAAAGATGTATTTATTCATGGAGTGCGTTTTGATCAGCTGGGGTTTCATTTCATTTCTATCTCATTAGTGGTGGCATGCAGGTGACTAATAACACCGCCCTGGATATTATTTATTCTTGGGGAAAGCCTTTTATATTGTCTTATTTCCCAGAGGTGAAATGTGAAGCAGCAGGTGAGACTTGGTTGAAACTGAAGCACCGGGCTTAAACACTAACTAATGTCTCTGATCTGAATCTTTACAGACTGCAGTGACACCCCGACGAGCAACTGGTTAACAGCAAAAAGTGGGAGAAAGAAAAGATGCCCTTACACAAAGCACCAGACCTTGGAGTTGGAGAAGGAGTTTCTGTTCAATATGTATCTGACCCGAGAGCGCCGCCTAGAGATCAGCAGGAGCGTCAACCTGACCGACAGGCAGGTCAAGATCTGGTTTCAGAACCGCAGGATGAAACTGAAGAAAATGAACAGGGAAAACCGCATCCGTGAACTGACCTCAAACCTCACCTTTTCGTGAGCCCGCATGTATCAGTGGTTAGCTATCTTTTATTTTTATGTCTCTCATATTCAGTTTGATGCTTTGGTGGCATTGGACGTTTATCTTCAATTTCAACGAAACTGTGACTATATATATATAAATATATGCCATTTTTAGTACTTTGTGTGGAGTCGTGTGTTTGTGTTATTTTATCACAGGGTAACACTTTTTTTTTGGTCTTAAATTATTGGAGTAGATTTCTTCCCTCTGCCAGTAGACATAGATATTCTATTGTGTCGCGATGGCGAGCTGTGTGGAAAGATGTTTCTTTATTTCAGTCATGAAAGCACATTTATTGTCCTATAGTGCAACATTTGTTTTACAGTAAAAGTGCAAGCCATTTGCTCAATAGTGAAATGTTTCTATGGGCCATTAAAGTGGCGGAAAACGATGTTTATCTGTGAATTTACTGCATGTTTGTGGCATGTATCTTGCAATAAATAGATTGTCAAATAAGCTTGTCTTCTTTTTTTTGAACTGTCCAAGTTTCTGGTGCACTGTTTTCTCATCCATCAGTAGTTGCTGCATTAGTAATCCGCGGTGTTATTTGCTTTAATGCAGGGGCTTTTTTTTTTTTTTGCTTAAAACTGTTATGAAGCGAAGGGAAAAAAAAAACCCAAAACAAGAAAAATACATTTTCTAAAGGAGCCTATTGCACTTTAGTAAAATGTCTAAAAGAAGTGGTCCTAATGTTTCTAATTTCACTGGATGTTTACACTTGTGATCTAACTTCATGTGACGATGAGCCTACAAGCTTAATAAAAAATAAGAATGGGTTTGCGGGCTATAGCAGGCTTAACACATGCTGTTGGGGTAAAACAATGAATCTGTCATTACAAGCGTTCCAAGATAGTCCATGCTCCCTGAAGACAAACTGAAAACTACACTCTGATATTTGTTACAGGAGGTGCAAAACAACAACAACAAAATAACAAACAAACAAACAAAAAAACAAAAGCAAAAAATGATCAAAATAGTGTAAATAGCCTTCTCTGCCGCAGAAGAAGAGTGAAGCAGAGAGACGCAAAAAGAGGCGGGGGTCCGTCTAATCAAATAAACATGGTGTTGATTTTATTTCCTGGCCTGTTTGTGACTAAACTAATGGTCTATAAGGACTCGATCAGGCGGGCTAAGTTATGGTCAAGCACAAATCCACAGGCAAAGAATCAGCTCTTCCTCCTTTTACGAGCTACGCAGGCCTGAATGGCCACGTTGCATTTCTGTTCATTCTGCAGAATAACTTCACATTTCATCATTAATCTTTGATAAAATAACGTGGAGCTGCAGCTCTGACCTCAATCTGGACTTATTTATCTGGACATGTGCCTTTTTTTCTGGACTGAAGTTACAAATTCATCTTCATAACATGCAAAAAAAAGATAATTTCACTTACACTATGAAGAAAATGTAAGATATATATATATTACTCTTGAATAATATCTTTCAGACACAGATGGACTTTGCTTCTCCAAGTCTTTTTTTTTTTTTTTTTTTTTTTTTTTTAATTTGACGCGCATGTATATATCACACGCACCTCATAAAACATTTATTGATACATAAAGATATTATTGCTCTCCTTTGAATGAATACAATAATTTCACAACTGCCATTTCCTGCTTAACTTTAAAAAATTCAACCAACCCAGAAAATGTTTCCTCACCGAATATTAACAATGGATTCAACGCATTGTGAACGGAAAATGGCGTCTGTTATTTTACAGCATGTTATTACATCTATTTTACGAGGACTCCGTAAGTCTATAAAGCATTTTACTAGCAGTGAGGGTATCAGGACGTTATTATAAGAGTTTTTCTCAAACATTAAGATGCAGGGAATCCGCCTTTGGTTTAAGTGTGTGTGTGTGTGTATGTGTGTGTGTGTGTGTGTGTGTATGTGTGTGTGTGTGTGTGTGTGTGTGTGTGTATGTGTGTGTGTGTGTGTGTGTGTATGTGTGTGCGTGTGGAAAATGTCTTATTCCTTTTTTTTTTTTGTATTGTTGCAACATCCTGCAGCCTCAAGCTCATGAGAAACAGAAAGGGGGGGGGGACCATTTGCAATTATTTGAACGATTGTTTTCTCCCTCTAGTCACATCTGACGGGGCTTTTTATTATTTGTGAAATGAAAAGCTAAATTAAACCTGACGAAGAAAAAAAAAAGAGAGAGAGCAAGGGCAGGATTGATTTACTCGCTGTATTGGTAAATATGACCACGTGATCCATGTAACCAATCCCTGTAGATGCAGGCCAGCAAAAATACTATGATTGTTCATAGAGAGAAGCTTCCCGTAACAGTGCAACCCTTATTATATGAGTAGGAAGAGATCAAAAATGTCTTCCAGTGGCACTCTCAGTAACTGCTATGTGGACGCTATTATGGGCCAGGAGCCGGAGGATGTGTACGGTGCTCGCTTTATTCAGGCTCCACACACGGTGACCCCGAGGCCGTCAGGTGCTGGGGACAACGCAGACTTCGCCTCTTGCAATTTTGCACCAAAGTCCGCCGTTTTCTCGTCGTCGTGGTCCTCGGTTCACCCGCAGGGGATTTATCATCCGTACGTGCACCACCACCACCACCACTCCCACCACCACCAGTCCCATCTGCCCGCCTCGGACGGCAGATATGTCGGCGTCCGCTCCTGGATGGACCCCATCTCCAACCACGTTTCGTTCGCCGGATTTCACTCGGGCTCCGGTCGGCCGTACGGGGCGAAACCCGAGGTGCTGCCGCCGAAAGCTACTGAGTGCGACGCGTCGGAGGCAGAGGCTCGGCCGCTCGCCGGCGAGTTCGCGTGTGGAGTATCGGAGTGTCCAGAAAAGGCGAGCAAAGAGCACAGTGGAAGTGAGCTTTCGAGCCACAGCGAGCCCAAAGAGGAGAAACAACAACAACTTGACCCAAGTAAGTGAACGAAATTGCCGGTCCTGATTTACAACCCCAAGAACTGTATGAGCTGGGTGTGTAAAACTGGAGGTTTTACTAACCTATAAAAGTGTCTCGTAGCATACCGCGGCTCGGGAAGGGGAAAAACCCGCCCTACACGGGTTATTACAGGGGGGATCCTAAACTATTCCATGTCACAGGACACCTAAAATAGACACACGTTGCTCCTTTTCGATAAGATTTTACCTGATGGGCCAGATTTAGGCCTCGTTTTCTTTCTTCTGTTCGTGGGGACAAACCGTGTAATCGAAATAGTCAATCTTTGCGCACTGTCAATCAAAAACTAAACTCTTCATTTCTCATTTTGCTTTCGATTCCCTGACACCACACCACTAACCCCCCCAACCTACACCCCCACCCTAATCAGCTCCCCGAAACCCCACTTTAGAAAGCATTTTACATTAAAGTTGAATTTCAGCAACATCCTCATCACATGTGCCTTCACTTCAACATGTGTCTCTCTCTCTCTCTCCCCCATGTTTTTTTTTCTTCCCTCAGACAACCCTGCAGCAAACTGGATTCATGCACGCTCAACGAGAAAGAAGCGATGCCCCTACACTAAATATCAGACTTTAGAGCTGGAGAAGGAGTTCCTCTACAACATGTATTTGACAAGAGACCGACGCTACGAGGTGGCCCGCATACTCAGTTTAACCGAGAGACAAGTGAAGATCTGGTTCCAGAACAGGAGGATGAAAATGAAGAAGATGAACAGAGAGAGGAGCAGCAAGGAGCAGCTATAGAGTTCAGTGCTGCTGCCATTTCACACGTTTTGATCTTTGTACCAACGAAGCCATCTGGACAATTACATTTACTTTGGTAGGAACCTCGGTATCCAGTTTTTTTTTTTGTTATTTTATTTTTTATTATTTTATTTTAATTGTTTTTGAAATCCTAAGTAGTAAATATTGAGAGTCAGTGCCGTAACGTATTGACCAAAAGGGCATCACGTGCAGGAATCTGTTCTTACAGGATCTGTCAGACATGATATTTTCTGTTTTACACTTTCACACAATCAACGAACTGTATTCATTCGCTTTCTCGAATTTGTTTAAACGCCCTCCCTCCCTCCGTCCCTGCCACAGTAGGAAACCCTGCTCGTGTGTATTGCTTTTATAGTTGTTAAGAACCCGGAATTTGTATGTAAAACATTTTCACAAGACAGCCGTGCACATGCTGCTGTCAGTAAAAGCCGTGCACACTTTAACTTGCTGTAATTGTTGACCGTGCAGGTGTAGCTATAATCACGCCCGTGATGCCTTCTCAAAAAAAAAAAACCCAAAAAACCCCAAAACAACAATTGAAGGGAGGGAAAGCAAATTCTCAATTTAATCTTAAACATCGATAAACATATTAACATTATTTCCTTTAATTAACAACATCTGGCCACTCTGTCTGCATGCTGCTGGTATATTCTGGGCTGTTTTTGTATTTGAGTTCTTTAAATCGGAATGATTCCCTGAGGCCTTGTTTGCACAAAGACTGCTGGAATAAATGTCCCGCAGGTAAATTAAAAAACACAAAATTTTAACCCGACAGAGTCATTTCCAAACAGTCTAATTTTCTTATTTGCAGCTCTTTTTTTAAACGCTAACTGAGGTTACTTACTGTATGTTAGATTTCGCTTTTTAAAACATTGGATTTGAATGGTTAGAACAAGTAATAAAGTGTTTACGACTGGAAGAGGTGTTGCGGCGGATTTCCAATTTATTGTCCAACTTGTACGAATAATTGCTTTAAAGCAGGAAGAAACGTGGTCCAATAAAGCTATAGAAATGGCTAGACGTCTGGCCTAAATGAGTTTATGAGCCCGGCAAGTAATTACACTCTCCTTTGAAACCCCCTTTTCTTGGGCGTTTGCGTCTGTTGCTGACAAACAGAATGTAGACACTTTTCCACAGGGTGTCTGGTCGATGAATTGTTTCAGAGGAAATCAACCCCCCCCCCCCCCCCCCCCCACCTTAATGGTCACGTTTATTCATCAACTCCACTTTCCACCGATGGGAAAAAAAACTTAACTTTGACTGGTGTCCAGTGCAGTATCACAGTCTGATGAATTTCTCTTATTCTAAATCATGAAACTATTCAGGCTGTGTTTCAGTTTAACCTCAGACATGCTGCATCTGTGGAAACAAAACTGACCTGAGGTGAAATAGACCTTGAGAATTTGTTTTGTTTGTTAAACTTGTGCAAATGAATATGCGATACCATGTTCAACTGCAGTAGTTTAAATGATTTAATTTAAAGAAAAAGCCTGAGAGCTGTAAGTGTAAACAGCCTGCAGCCTGTTTACCTTCACTGCAGCCTGGCCTTCACTGGGGAGGGAATGTGGGCGCTAGAGGGCGATATTGTTCTTTTAGTCTCACTTACAGCAGTTGATTCACAGCTGGAACATGCACACAACACAACATGGACCATACCACACACTAGCCTGTATATTCATGGATTTATTGATGTAGATGAAAGAAAGAAAGAAAAAAAAAGACAGTAAATCTTTGAATGTCAGTTATAAAACAGGAGCTTTTCTGCTCATGATCCTCTAAAAAGTGCAGAGTTAGTATGGGGGTGAATTTAGAATTTTAAAGCAACAACAATGAAACTATTTTCGGATTTGAATGGGAAGCTGCTGTTATTAAACTACAGCAGCACCTTGACGCTTCTTTAACAGTTGAAAACATGAAACTCCAAAATTTTAAAAGCCTATTGCAGTTGTTGATGTACAGATTATTTTTTTCTTTTAAATGTGATAATTTCCAGACCCCGCATTTCAACGGCAGCTCAATTTAATCAATCCAGAAATGGCATCAGAAGCCAGGAGCAGCCTCAGTCTATCACCATTTATACAGTAAAAAAACAAAACAAAAACAAAAAAAAAAGCAGATGTTAACTCTGAACTGTCCATTCCAAGGCCACATCCTCTTCTGCACTCCATCAAATAGATTTAATATTTTCTCTGCGCCGTGAAGCAGTCCTCTGTTGTCCGCGCACTATTGTAAGGACTCCTTGTTTTATTCAAGCCACACGACGCTCAAATACAAGCGTCGTTGCAACGTGGATCTTTTTGATGTTGTTGTTGTTAAAATCACTGACATAAATAAAGCGGAGTGATGGTGCTGGCTGCTATATTGGGCCTTGGGAAAGAAAACATCCTATATCTTTTTTTTCCCCCCTGTTTCCACATGGCACGGAAAAATGTACAGAGTTACGCGCTGCACAGAATCATCACTGAAACCTTTAAAGCAATTAAATACTATACGTTTAATTAGACGAATTAAAAGTAGGTTTCTCTGACTCCTAAACGAACAAAAACAGACTTAAGGCCCCTACAGAGTCTCCTGGTTTTCCATTATCTGATATAAAACCCGCTAAACTATCAAAGCTCACTGCTGATAGACATTTACTGTCGCTGACTTGTGGCTGGAAACGGATTATAAAAGCCGAAAAAAAACGCTTCTCCTGCTTGTGTTTTAATACACTCTGCATTGAGTGCTGCAGCAGAATAAGAGTCCCCCCCCTTCCACACACACACACACACCCGCACCACCGTTAGTGAATCCTACTGCCCTGGGTCCTGAGGACTTACAGTGAACATTACTTTAATCATCACCACTGAAAGTGATGATTGTCATGAGGTTTCCAGTTGTTTCCAAACTCCTCCCCCCCTTTCTCTTTCTCAAGATGGACACAAGATATTGAAGCAATTAGATGAAAACACGGAATTGATTGTTTGCGCCTCGATCCGGACGCACTGGTCTACATGTGCGAGAAGACCAGTGGCCTTTGAATCCAGTCGGCTGGTGACTACATGGGTGACTGTCATTGCTGAAAACTTGACCCCACAGTGACCACGTTCTGCTGCTTCTTTATTTGGACACATACTATACACGATGACACGCTGCTGACACGCGCGCAATAACTGGCTCAAACATTTTCTTTGATAAAGAGAAACGTACGTTGGAACACATTGGAGGGGAGGATGGGGGGGGGGGATTTCTGTCAGTGTCTTCCTCGGTCATGTGCCTCTTTCCTTACAGGCCAAGAGTGAGGTCAGCTCGCCTTGTCTCTCACTCTTTTGCCGTTCGCTGCTGTGTAGTCATGTTAGACCCCGCAGATGCTTTATTGCTCCACATCCACTCACTTTGTCCAGTGTTGTTTCTGCCAGGGCTGCACGGAGGCCAAGATATAATGGCTGTGAAACTGAGCTGAGCGTTAGGGATTGGGAACACAATCCCAATCCCCCTAATGTTGGAGCTTTTCTAGAGCAGCGTTAAATAGTCTATACTGCTATTAAAAGAAATGTGTGTGAGGGACAATATGTCTGAGCACGAGAACAGTTTCTTGGCTATTCATAAAAGGCATATTGGTGTGTGTTTGTGTGTGTGTGTGTGAGTGAATAAAAATGCATATTTATAGTTACTGATTAATATTGTTTCATTCTGTCACCATTTAATTGCTTAGCATGTTTTTTTTGTTTTTGTTTTTTCATTGTTTACATTAAAACATATATTTATAAGAAAAAAAAAACAACATGCAGTGTTTTTTCTGTATTCAATTTTCAACTGCTGCTGTAATAAACCAGTGCAGTGAAACGGGTCTAATATTATGGGATTGATTTCAAAGATTTCATGACTTCAGCTGATAGTTGAGATTTATTATCAAACCTACAGGCGACGTAAAAAATCCAACAGACGTGCTGTCGTGCCTTTAATCCCCCGCACCGCCACCTCGGTGTAAAATTATTCATTAAGATGATTAAGTTTCGACTCTTCCATTAGTCTTCCTCTTCGTTTTAATCCACAACAAAAGCAACGACGACTCTGAATCAGTTCAGGTCTGTGACGCAGTCTGACAAGCAGCACGTCCTGCAGTGAGTTTCTATGGGAGGATGAGACTGAATACAGAACATTTAAACATCAAGGCAACGATGTCGCCCAAGAAACGCAATATGTTGAATCCTGGACTTAGCTGCACAGCCTCCAGTGGATCAGGAGATTTATAGTTCAGAATCATTAAAGCTGCACAATCACCAGCACGAATGACTTAAATGTGAAGTTTTGGTGTGAACAATGTACTTGATCTGATGTTATCTTTCCTCCCTAGCGAGTTTCATAGACTACTATTCGAAACGAGTGCAGGCCTACTGCACTAAAAAGCTGAGAGTAAGTAGTCTAACACAAACACACACACACACACACACACACACACACACACACACACACACACACACACACATAGACACATACACACAGAGAGTACTGAAATGATCAGTGGAACCAAAAGAAGAAGAAGAAGAAAAAAAACGCCACAAGGGTTAACTGCCGAGGAATCAGGCCGCACAGAAAGTACAATTAGAGCTCTGTGATGAAAGGAAACCATAACATTTGAGCCTAAGTAGATTATGTCACATTACCATAACCCATAGGCCACTTCCCTGTTCGGCACCTCTCCTATTAAGCACGTTACATTTCTAAATCGCTTTATATATAATTGTATTCTTATTTTAAATAATTTCGCCTTTGTAACTCAAAACGAGCTTCATAGGAGATGACGATTTAAACGCACATACAAACGCTAATTTAATTTAACTGGCATGAGAGGAAGCTAATGTGGATGAACAGTGAGGAAACAGAGAGAGAAAGAGAGAGAGAGAGATAACTCGTGAATTAATATGGAAAACATGAGGACCTGTTCATCTCTAGTGTGCTAGGTGTGTGCAACAGCCCACCAGCAGCAGCAGCAGCAACAACCCTGTCTGGGATTAAACCGCACCTCACCAAAAAAAAACCACCCCCCACTGACCTAATGCTGGCAAGGTCTAGTTTCCTTTCTCATCACACCAGGGACATTTATTCTTTTCATTATTAAACTTTGGCTCAGTTTATTATTATTTTTAAAAGCCCCATAAGTGCACGCACTGTTTATAAAAAATTCTTTTATTTTCTGCTACTTGTTTTCCCTAATCTATACAAAGCCACTGTATAGGCGCGATATGTTGGTCTTAAGCTCCCCATCATTCAGTTACTGCAGACCGGGTCCACCAGCACATCACATACCGGAGCTCACATCGTTCTTCCAGTGTCAACGTGGCGACTCTCTTTCCGTCTGTGACCTCAAATAAAAAGGCGGTAACATCATGTTAGAGGAATGAGCAGACAAATAGTCCCGTATCTTTGTACCGAGACTAAACCGATGTTAATCCAGATTTGTTTTTTTTTTCCTCTTCTTCTTCTTCTTCTCTGCAATAGAGCCACCCAATCCCAACAGATTATACCAGACTATACAGTTACAGTGCTGTCATAGTTGTGTAATGCAACAAATTCTGATCTCTTGCATTACACACACACACACACACACACACACACACACACAAGCTATGAGACTATAGGACAGGAAACCAGAGACAGAGCCATGGCCTGATCATAAATCGCACCGTGCTGACTCTGGCATGCCACCAGATGAACAAGAATGAAATGAAAGAAATTCCTTTTTTTTTTTTTTTTGCTGCAGAAATATTCACACAGACGGACAGACAGTGTTTAGCCTTTAAATCTTCATGGTCAGAAAAAAAAACTTATATGCCATAATTTATCTCCCTCTAGTTTTCTCTTCATATATTTCAGAATAACAGCAGGCCTGTGTGAGAGCGCGGAGAGAGAGGACGATGGCCTGGTATGGTATATGTTCAGCCACAGCTGCAGGAGACGCTCAAGTCCATTTCAAACATCCTGTCGTCTGGAACAATAACCGCCA